TCATCAGGGACAGCAGCAGCAGCAGCAGCAGCAGCAGCAGCGACAAGATTTACAACATACTGTGAGAGCATAAAATAAAAATCTTATTTTTGTTCAAATGCGAATAGTATGGTGGGGTGTGGGGAGGGGGGTAACAGAACGGAACGGACAGGCACGGGGCGAGCGAAATAAATAAATGAAATAAAATATAAAAAAAAAAGAAGTGGAAGAAGAAGCCAGGGAATAGAATGAATAAAAATACTCGAACGTACAAAAGGCAGCGCCAAAGTGACACAGCACCCCGGCCCATTGTCTGGCCCAGAGCCCCGAACCCCTGACGTAGCCGCGGAGTCCTGGCGGCAGGCGGCGGGCGGGGGGGCGTTGACAACCTTAATAGTTATAGAGGATATGGGTATATATGTGTGTGTATGTGTGTGGCATGTGGCATGGGGCATGGGGGCATGCTGCTTCGGGACCTTCGCAATTGGAACGCATACATCGTCGTACCCCCCGGCATTCGGCTGCAATAAAACGCACATGTGTTTCGTTTCCAAGCTCCGTCGCCATCTCCGTCTCATAATTTCTATGTGGTTGGCAAATAAATTTGATTTGAGCGAATTGCCGTAGATTGACTCTGTAGTGTCCCCCCGCCCGCACACAACCCCCCAAACTGGCAGTTAACTCGCAGCGTTCCTGGCAACCGATTTGGGGACGAACAGACAGTCGCAGAGGCAGTGGAAGAGGCAGTGGCAGTGGCAGCGTCCCCCACGCAGGAGAAAGGAATTCGCTTTTCGCTTTTGCTGAGCTCGGCTCGACTCGATTTTCCCCTCGCCACCCCCCATCGAACTGTTCGTTGACCTTCTCGCCATTTTAGGAGGAGATCCAACACACACACACACACAGACACACACAAAAGGGAAATTGAAGCCGTATTGCCGTTATAATTTATATACAGATATTCCTGGAAGGAAGTGCAGGAAAAGTCCCCATAGAAAGAGTGTCTTCGCCCTTTGAATTCTTTGGCTGAAATTATCCCAAAACAGAGCACAGATTTTTCTCATTTCTTATGACAAATGTTGGATATTTTCCTAACTCTGAGGAGAACAATAAAAATATTCAGAAATGAGTCTGCGAAAGTCTAGCAAAAGACTCGTATTATTCGTTTTATTTGGCACATGCCCTGCTGAGGTATACTTGTTATGGGCTCTGAATCAGTTCGCGACAAGCGAAGAATCTGTTCATTAACAACGAGCGCGTTGGACTGCCCGGAACGATGCTTAACACCCGCGCCAACACGCCCAAGGGGAAGCGGCTGGCACCAGAGAGTCAGAGCCAAAAGGCAGGAGGCAGGAGGCAGGAGGTGGCAGGCAGGAACAGCTTCATAGATAGAGGCGAGCTTGGGGCCCAGGCGAATGGCAGAAGGCAGGAGAATAATTCCATGCAAAAGGAAACAACGCAGCACAAGCACGCGCTGATAAATGGGGAGTGGGAGTGAAAGAAGAACTACGAATGGCAAAGGGAATGGGATTGGAAATGGTAATGGGAATGGGCTTGGGCTTGGGCTAGGGGTGGATGCTGATGGAGGTCGCAGGAAGCGCGTAGAAACGGAAACGCAAAGGACAAACACGCCAGGGGCAGAGGACAAAGGTCACAGGCTGTGCGGCAGTGCGGCAGTGCGGCCGGGGCACGGGGACCCTCTGAGGTGTTGCCAACAGGAAAAGCTTCAATCAGCGAAAAAATCGTGGGAGGGCAACGTCCAACTACACATTTAGTGTTTATTTCGCATTTATTGAGAGCCCGGTCCGGGAATCCGGAGACCGGGGAATGAAATCAGCAAGAAATAAATGTCCTTGTCGCAAGCTACCCAACCAGCCACCCCCCACCGCCCTTGCTGCTCGTACACAATATATAAATTGTTTCCAAATCATTGGATACCCGGCCACAGCAAATACGAAAATGAAATTAAGTCCAACGAGGACGAGTGCTGTGGCCAGCGCTAGCCGCACTCTGGGCTACCCTTCAAGCGGCCAAGACGCTGTGTCCCAGTGAATCCCACTAGAGTCCAAAGTGACTGCCACGATCCAGAGCTGCACCAGAGCATCGATCCCCTGTTAGCCGTCCCAAATATTCCCTGACTGCGACTCCTTTGCCCTGCCCCAAAGGCGAACGTTATCGCATAGCTTGGCTACCCCATGTCAATAAAATGGCAGAACTAAACTCAAACCCAACATCATATGATGCTGATCTTGATGGTGATGTGACCGAGGGGGAGGGGGCGAGGCAGTCAGTCGGCCAATGAATGTTTGCTCCAATGAATGGGGCTAGCTGGCTGGTTGGCTGCCTGCCTGAGTGACTGCATGAATAAAGATTTCGAGGGACAAAATCTGCCAGAGACATTAAAATTAGAGCGAGAGTCAAAATGCCTTTGGGCACGGCTCTAACCGGTCCCCGTCCCCTGTCCCCCACACACAATTGATGCGTGCGGTTTTAATGGACAGCACACAGTTTCGGGCAAATAATCGGCATCGGGCCACTGGCCAGCGTCCATCAGGCCATCACTCCATAAGCCAGCCACCTACCCAACGGCTGCCGTTCTACAAATGGTCCTTTCCACATGGACGCTGCACGTTTGATGTATGACACTCCATGGGCTCCGGCTCTGGCTCTGGCTCTGCTGACCGAAACAACCTTTGATTTATATTTGATTTTGGAGCAGGTCATGCAACATTTGTTTAACTTTTCCCTCGCGATTCGTTCCGGCCAACTGTAATTTATTTAAAAGGGGGGGATTAGTTATCGGCCAGAGAGGAAACAATCCAAAATCGATGCAGAATTATTCCATCATATTTGAATTATTTTCTATTGGGCTACAGTTTGTTCCTGGGATTATCTTGTAGGATTGGACATCGGCTGTTCATATGGGTGGCAAAAAGCGTCAATCAACGAATGTCTTAAAAGAAAAGTTTCGCAGCAGATGATGCAAGAGAACTCCTTTTGCCCCCCCCGCATGGAAAGTGCTCGCTGGAGCGCGTGCCCCGAGTGGGCGGAGGCTGCCATGCCATGGCAGGCCATGCCACACATCCGTTCCCAGCCGAGTCGGCCTAAATACATATTTATTTATGCGCCTCCCTGCCATTTGTATAAAGTGTTTGCACTTAATAAACCCATTTCGGTAAGACCTCTGTCAGTCTTGCCAACTCTCGCACGGCTTCCGTTTGTGCCTCTGCCTCTGCCCCTGCCACTGGCCCCTGCCACACGCATTTAACTGTTATTCCAGCATTAAAAGTTCCATTGAGTGGCAGAGGAAGTGAAAACAATTATCTCCAGGAAGGTGAAACATAAATCCTCGGATCCGAAAGTAAATTGCAAATTTTCGTTTATTGCTTTCTGTGTCTGTGTCTGTGTCACCCTGCCCCAGTGTCTGCCCCTGCGCTGGGGGAGATTTGCGGTTAAATCGAATCGATATTCTGCGTTATCATATTTATTATGCAAACACACTCCGCCGCCTCACCCGTAATGCCAATTGGTGTTGAGTTGCCAAAAAAAAAGTGACACACGCGCCCAATTCCATCTCCATCCTTCCACCCCCTCCACACACGCGCTGGGAAAATGCAAATGGAAACACGGCAAAAGCAAGCCATAGAACCCGCACGGGGGGGGTGGGCAGGCTCGGGCTGGGAGGAAATGTATATTTTGGATTTCTGCCTGGCCCCTCAAGTGTGATTGGAATTGAATTGAACATCCGAATGGACCCGTCCTGGCCAAGTTCTTCCTGCTTTTCTGTTGACAAAACCATCCGATGCCTGCCATAGATACACACACACACAAACACACTCACACACTTATAGTAGTTACTAGTACATTCATTGTGGTAAAATAATCAGGGCAGCCGTCTTTACCACATGGCTTCAATTATCATAAGCTATGTTTAAATACACTGGGAGAAAATTGGCATGGCAAAAGGAAACAAATAAATATATGTAAACAAAGTGAAATTAAATAGAATTAAATGCATTAAAAAGTCTTAGCATAATCCTAATATAATAATAAAATAAAATAATATAATAATAAATACAAAAAAAAAATAAATAAAAATAAATACTATGAATATAATCAATTAAAATTACGGGAAATATATTTCCTTTAAATGTGAGACTATTTAATTGGCACATGAAAATATTTAATAAGCGGCTGCACTTTCACAGTGGATAGCTCTGCAAGATAGATGCAGCTCCGATGTATTTAAGGCCGCAACCACACACGGACACTAAGATTCCTGTGCCAATCAGTCATTGCGCTCCACACGGCACAATCTACCATGGCGAGTAGTCTTGTACAAGTCACTGCGTTTATATGTCGAGACGCGTGGCTTATATCGACGCCGAGCACAACGCCGTTTGGGTTGTAGTCTCCTCTTTTTGGTCGGTTCCTTCTGCTTATTTATTATGTACATACATATATTTAAATTATATATTTGTAAAATTAATTATCACTTACATTGGCGCTGACATGACCCACAGCCTTGCGACGTTCCGTTGTGTGTCGATGCTTCTGAGATAAAAAGGATTTTTATTTTTATTTCTTTCAATATTAATTAAAGGTAATTCTTACTTGGTTATTGGTTGGCACCTCAGTAGGGGCTGCTGGGGGGATATTTTTCCGCTGCTGCTTTTCCTTTAGGCGCAAACTTTGGCGAGTTGTCATTGTTTGCTGCTAATAAACACAAGAACAAATATTAGCAATACAAATAAAAACCAAATCAAAATTTCACTCTGATGCTTGCTTTTCGAGCAGAAAAACGAAAAAAGAAAAGAAAATGACTTGCAAGGAGTCGCAGCCTGACACTGACAGTCCGAACAAATGAGTCAATTTTGTGTTTTTGGCGTTTGGCTGGCCACACTGGCAAGTGTGGCCGCAGTTGCTCAGAAAATAGAAAGTTTTTAGGACAAAAAAAATAGCAAACACAATTACATTATTAATTATTATTAATTATTATTTTAATCATTGATAATAATAATAATAATGAGGAGGCAGTTCCCATGTGATGGAGAAGCCTACATCTTCGTGTACAAATAAATGGCTACGATCAGCCCGTAGAGACCCAGCACCTCGGCGAAGATGAGTATGAGTATCATGCCGACGAAGAGACGCGGCTGCTGGCCCGTTCCGCGCACGCCGGCATCCCCAGCAATGCCAATGGCGAATCCTGCAGCGAGTCCGGGCAGGCCCACGGACAGGCCGGCGCCGAGATGGATGTAGCCATCGTGAATGCTGTAGCTGTCTCTAATGGAGCCCGCGATCAGCACGGAGACGACCAGGCCATAGATGGCGATAATGCCGGCCATGACCACCGGTATGAGGGACTTCATCAGCATCTCTGGCTTGGAGACGGCCATCTGGGCAATGCCCATGCCGGATACAGCAGTGCCGTAGGAGGCTCCCAGGGCCGGGAATATGATGGCACAAGCAGCCCCACAGCTACCCAGAAAGAGGGCGTATGGCGGGCTGGCCTCTTGCAGTCCAGCGTCGTACATGTCCGGAAATCTTTTTTGTAACAAATAAGAGGATGTCGTCAACGTTCTATACTAGAGATTCTACACAGATATATTGACAGATATTCCAAGGCATTTGCTCTTTCTGTTCTACTGAATTCCATTTGGAACTTCTGAAACTTTCCGGCCATTGCCGAACCTCATTGGGTTGCTGACGGGATGATTACTTCCCGCCTGTGTGCTGCGATCAAAGGTTAAAGCTAAAGCCATTTGAGGTGCAAAATATGTTTACAAATTCACGAAAGTTCTCGTTGTGTTTCTCAGCAGCGTTGCTGGAAATGGAAATGGTGCCGACCCGCAGCCATGCGGTTACGTGATGGGAGGGCCACAAAACCATTTTCTATATTGAAAATCGATGCTGCGGTTTCTTGTATGCTTTTGAGTGGTTTTTCTCCCCAGGGCCCGTCTCCCCCGCCACATGTTTCAATTAAACAAATTGGAAAATATGAACCCGAATCGTTCTCGAGCGTAAAAATGGAGACAGGCCCGCTTCCTCTTCCGCTTTTGCTCTCCTTCCTACTTCGAATGGAAATTGGTTGCCTCCTCGCTGGTGGGTGGGACCAGGCAGACGGATAAATTGTTTGTGGGGTTTCCAATCGCTCCTAGGCCCCTGCCTCAATCTCTGCCCGTGCCGAGCAGCATTTTATTGCGTCCCAGAACGCTTGGCATTTTGATAGAGATATTCGAAGAGCAGCTCTCCTTCAGGGGCGGCGACACAGCACCTTTCAGAGGTTTTCAGTTGATGAAGCATTTTAGGTTCTCCGATTTATATCTTTTTTATTTTACTGTCAACTACTCGTATGAGTTGAAGCCTGTTTTACTTGGTGTACAGATAGATGGCCACAATCAGGCCATACAGACCCAAGACCTCGGCAAAGATCAGAATCAGAATCATGCCAACGAACAGGCGGGGCTGCTGGGCAGTGCCCCGAACGCCGGCATCTCCGACAATTCCAATGGCAAAGCCCGCCGCCAGGCCCGAGAAGCCAACGGAGAGACCGGCGGCCAGGTGAATGTAGCCCCGGCGAATGGTGTATGTGGGCGACAAAGAGCCAGCAATCAGAACAGAGACGACCAGGCCGTAGATGGCGATAATGCCAGCCATCACCACCGGAATGATGGACTTCATGATCAGCTCCGGACGCATAACGGCCATGGCTGCGATCCCAGTGCCTGATTTGGCTGTGCCATAGGATGCTCCCAGAGCCGAGAAGATGATGGCCGATGCGGCTCCCATGCCGCCAAAGAAATACGCATACGGCGGCCTGTCGGCCTCATTTGAAACAGTTTCGTCGGACATCTTCTGTAAAGGTTAGTTAGCTCGAGTGAATGATACAAAAAATACAAGTTTTCCTCTTACTGTTATTCACAATGTTCCAGTCTCAATATTTGGAATCAACTGATATGAACGTTGAAGGTAACGAATGACGTTTGACACATTTATCACTTCAGATGAAATGCGTAGCCTGCTAGGCACAGGATTTGGAAGTAATGACAAAATTGATCAGATTAGAAATAAAGAAAACGAGAAGGAACGTGTGGGTCGCTTCTGGGGACGCGACTCTACTTATACCCGTACTCAGTCAGTATATACATTTTTGAAGATATGATTTTTTTGAATTTTAGAATTAAAAAAAAAAGTTACATTTACAATTTTTTTTCTACATTTATATCTACAATGTATATTCTACATCTAACAGGTAGATTGTACATGTACCATTTAGATTCGACATCATCTCCACTAGGGGTTGCTCGCGCACTGAACGCGGCAGAGTGTGCGAGCGAGAAAGAGAATGAGCAGCGTGTCTCTGGCTGGATAGAGGCGGGGGAAGCAACTGAAAATTAATTTCTTCATTCCGGCTATAACTATGATCCGATCTGATTCAGATTCGGCAATCTGGTAGATATGAGCAAAGAATGCTCATATACTCCGTTTTTAGTTTTATTCTGTCTTTAAAATTGTGCCTGCCACAGATTTTCGTCCTTTGTGGGGGCGGAAGGAAATACACTTGTAGAAGTGTGATATCACACGAGTGTGAACACGAAATTTGGTTTCCCTAGGTTTTTTTAGTCTCTGAGATCTAGGCGCTCATCGAGACGGACCGGACGGACAGACGGACATGGCTTTATCGACTCGGCTATTGAAGCTGATGCAAGAATATATATATACTTTATGAGATCGGCAACGTTTCCTTCTCTGCGTTGCACACATCCACTTTTACAATATACCCCTCAACTCTTTTTTGAGTACGGGTATAAAAACCTACTTAGCTATACGGTTATGACATAATGGCTAAGATCGAAGAGTGAGAAAGTGAGTGAGCAAACAGAGAAACAACAAATTCTGTCGTTACAGAGTCGAACAATTAGCAGAGAGCTAACAGCAAATGAAAACGAGAGTGAGAAGGAGGCCCTGACCTATCTCAACATTGTGATCTGGACACCTACACACTTCACTTTCGCTTTCGTTCTCTAGTGTCGTTACAGAGGCATGTTAAGTTAGCAGAGAGCTTACAGCAAATGAAAACGAGAGTGAGAGGTGGTTCTTGCCTTCATACACATGTACATTACCTTTGTGACAACTACATACATATGTATGCTTGCTATTGCTCGGCCACCCACCAACTTTCGCTTTCGTTCTTTCCTGAGAGAGAGGGAGAGGAAGACGAGCAGACACGAAGGCGGATGTGATCTCCAAGAAGAGCTTTGAGCCTGCACACGCATGCACTCTTATCGCAGCGCTCTCAGTTCTCCCCGTCCTCATTTAAAGCTGTCAATTAATTTGTGTGTCTGTTGCTACGCGCGCGTCTAAATGCACAGCTTATTACATACATTTATATACACAAAGCTCCAAGCGCAGGCGCAAGTTGTTTATTCGTGTCATGAAGTAGAAGCTTTTGCTTTCGTTTTCTAGTTTTAATGATTTTTAGTGTTGAATTTGTACTGGTTGATGCATATTTAGTATTTTCTAATTGACCCACAAGCAATCACAAATAACGTATCCCATTTTTAACGATGTGCCGAAACTATGGGAAAAACGCAGCTCAAACGTTAGTAATCCAGAGAAATTCGACTTTTGATAGTTAAAAAGAATAATAGATCCCTTTCGCCACCCACTTCTTCAATGGGTATGTACGTATGTATGTATGTATGTGTATGTATGTATGTATGTATGGCCGTTTGCAGTTGTTACGCGATTCCGAGATGTTTTCTATTAAAGATTTATGCTGCGCTGAGGGACTTGGCTCCTTTCGGCTCATATCCATTGTTGTTATTGCTATTGCTGCTGCTGCTGGCTGCTGCTGGCTGCTGCTGGTGCTGCTTCGTTTTGTTAGTTATTGTTCGGCTCGTTCTGTACCGTTTGGGCCACTATAAATCGTTGTTGTATTTTGTTGAGTGCGAGGATTTATCGCCAGAGCTGAATATGAGAAAAGAATCACACAAATACAAATAAATCAAAAGCATTTCGAATGGCAATGCCAATGGAAATCCTCGACTGCTCTGCTGGGACCGACTGAGTCTGAGGGCGAGAGAAGAATAGTGTTGCTGGATGTGGTTGTTGCTAGCCAGGCTAGACTGTGTGTGTGCTGTGCGAAAAATTGATGTCTTTGCTCATAAAAATAAGGCATCAGGAATGAGGCGGCTGCCCGAAAGCAACATTGTAAATTTTATGACTTTTTTATGCGCTGAAATGTATAAATTATGTAAACTGACACTGACAGCTGTCAACCGAAGGCTCAGGCGACACCGACAGCGACAGCTCCAGAGTAAGAGCAAGAGTCAGAGTCGAGTTCCTGCCACAGCGGAACGAGCGTTGAACGTTTGCAAGTGACACATGTGTCAAATGGTCGATGGGGAAAACGCGCAACAACGCCAGGGCTCTGAATCCCGGGATGCGGAATGCTTCAACACCCCGTATCCGTCCCACTCCAGAATCTAAAGGGAGCGAGCTGATGACTCGATATGATTAAATGATTGCGAGCGGCAATAAAAAATTGATGTTTCGAATTATTGCTAATATATATTTCGCTTTTTTCCATTCCATTCCCCTACTCTCTGCCCTCCCTTGCCAAGGCAGCAGTTTATGATGTTTGTTTTTTGTTTTATCGCATTTTACAGAGTAAAAGTTTCAAGAGAATTTCCCAGTTTATAGAGCCAGAGCCCAAGATATATACAAAAGAAGTGCCAAATCTTTGCATATTTGTGTGTGTGTTTCGCAGGGATGATTGCTGCCTGGATCCTGGGAACAGCAACGACTCTCGATTGCCAGAATGAGGGATGGGGGAAGGGGAATCTGGAATGACTAAATTCTATTAATGTCATGAAGGCGATGGATCGATCGATCTGGGAAGCATATTGGAAGGATTTACTCCTTTGGTGTGTGTTTGTTTGTTTGTTTTGGGGATTTCCATGACCTGGCTAACCCATATACCATGCTCGTTCGTATACCGTGCCCCAGCAATTAGCCCCCCCTGCCAACAGTACTGCCCCGCACCTGCACCATGCTCTTTATTAAAGTAAATCACAGAGTTCCTGCCAATGTGCAATAAATGAGAGGCCCCGGGACAAGCGGCAGTAACAGTAACTAACGAAAGAAATTAACCAAAAATAAATTTACTGGAAGCAAAAACCCCAAGCACAAGCCAAAGCCAAAGCCCAAGCCCCTACTCTCTTTCCGGCCAGCGGCAAGGACAAAAGGGTTTCAGGATTCTACTGGCTCTGGCTCTGGCTCTGGCTACTCCTGCTCTGGGTGTCAACTGCTCCGCTCCGCTCCACTCCGCTCTGTACGGGGCGGCTCTACGCTCCAGGGCCCCACTGCGTTGCTTCCGCTGCGATGGAGACGACTGCCGCCGACTTCTCCTGACTGCTGCTGACTGTGTGTGTGACTTCTGGAGTCCCAAATGTGTTTTCAACATGCAATTTTTATTATTGACTGTCGGCTGCCGACCGTCGACTGTCGCTGTCGACTGTCGCTGTCGCTCTCGAGTGTCGTGCCAGCTCGCAGCTTTTCAGTGTTTTCCGCCCAGCGAATCGTGAAAATGTCATTACTGTCAATCAAGTCGGGGCCAAAGGTTTTTCCCCGAAAAACCAAGAGCATTAAAGCCGTTCGTTCTGCCCAGCCAAGTGACAAATTGAAAAGTTCATTCAAAATTAAAGCAGTAATTTTTTTTTTTTTTTTTTTTTTTGTTGTCTATTTACATAGAAGTATCAAAGCAATTAACTCGCTCTCACTCTATCTCTGTCTCTCTGTCTACAATTTTCGTAACTCTTACTTACTTTTGAGCATCTGTTCTTTAATTTGGAATAGACCATTCCATTGTGGAGGTTCTTGTACTACAATTTATCGGTTCCACTAGACGCTGAAGTTTAATTATTTTTGTTTGCTTTTCTTTGAATATACCAGAGTTCATTTTCTTCATCTAAACTATTTTCCAGAGAGTTTGTTTCTTTGAGAGATGAATGATGCTGAACCGCAGGAACCCTGCACCGATGTGATGCTATTTTTATGACCGAAGCTATCAAATGTATTTGTATTGAATGCATTTATCCCAATGCTTGGCAGGCACAGGCACGTACATAGATAGACATTACACAGTTGGCAGACAGCAAATCAGATATGAATGTGCGATTTTCTTTGCAATGTTTGGGGATTCGTTTGCGTGCTTTGTGTCAATTCTTGATACGTTGATACACGGAACAGCAGCAGAGCGAACAAAACTGAATTGAAACTGTCACAGGAGCCACACAAAACGGGGCCGTAGACATGCAGCGGCGCGGTATTGTATTGGCGTGCCAAATGTAACGATTTGGGTATTAGGAGGAGGAGGAGCAGCAGCTTGTTGAGTAGAGGCCTACAGGGGGCGCTGGACGGACAGTGGCTGATATATCTTTTATTATGTAGTTCTGTGTCATCGTAAAAATCGTCGGCTATTACTTGATTGTCCTTCATGAGAGCCATAAAGCCGTTGGCACTTGGTCGGAGTTGCAGGGGGAGAGCGGCCCAATGGCCCATTGTAAAATGATTTACTCGCCTGTGCCCCCCCGTTCTTCCCCCCTGCCTGCCCCCCGCTCTTCGACTACACACTCATTTTTTTATGGTTCGGCTTTTTTTTTTACGGTCTTTTACAGTTTAACGACGCATCACTGACACAAAAACTGGGAACTGGGAGCTGGAACTAGGAAATTGGGGAACTGGTTAGTTGCTTGGTTGGTTGGTTGGTTGCTTGGTTGGTGGATGGTCTAACAAAAATCTATTCACGATTTTTGTATGGCAAAATAATGTTGCCATTTTATTGTATTTATTTATCATCCACTAGGAAGGCCGC